CAGCTCTGCACCTTGTCCTATCCAGTACTACCTTCAAGACCTGTGTCATGATCAGTCAAGCCCAGAGTTGTCACTGTGTCACGTCTTGTTGAGGATCGGATTCCTCTCAGTGGAGTCTTTTTCCTAGCCATCGAGTCTGACATGAACATATGCGAACAGGGTGTTAGTCTAGCCACAACTGGCTATGTCAACCATTCCAAAAGGGGATTGTCCAGTCTCACCAATCTACAAGAGGATTGGCTACTCTTGCAAATAAATTCACTGGCTCCAGTAGCAGATTAGACCTTTCTTGCCAATGAAGCAACAGCAGCAAGAGAATGTAACACGTCCTTTGGGCCCAACACCTACAGCAGGAGCAGCCATAGTTGAACCTGAGACCTGACGAGAGATGGGCTCGTGGCTTTGCTACACCATTGGAACCACAGCTAAGAGCCACTGCCAGTTTGTTGGACAACTGGGGTTTGGGGCCATAGTTCACAGGACTGAGAACCCATGAGCCACGAGGCTCAAGGCTGAGGTGCCTGTAGGTGTATTTCAGAAGCCATCCTGACTTCCCAACCTGGTTCTGTGAGATATTATGTCAGATTTTGGACCCGTAAAGCAGTAAGATTGGTGTTGAGATGAGTTGAAAGAGGAATGGGAGCAAAGGGGACATATCTGACCTCATGGGAATTGGTTTTGTGTTACTGATGCTGTTGACGGGGGACAATTCCTCTTTTTAAAGTTGGTAAAGGTCAGACATGGCTGTGCCCACGGGCCCTTGCTCTTTATACTCTTTCACTACCTTTGCCAGCATGTTTGTGGTTGTTTTTTTCCCCCCCCAAGGGCTGGCCCTTCCTGACAACACACCCAAATGTGAGACCAAGTTTTACCATCCTTTCCTCTAAGGAACACCTGGTTCCTTAGAGGCACTTCTCTAAGATAGACTTCTTCGATATTTTGGCTCTAACTTCATTGCTATGGAGTCAGAACCAATTCAGGGCCCACCCTCCAGCAAGTTTTCAGAGACTGTCAGTCACACTGGAGGAGACTGCTCATCTTTCTCCCGAGGAGCAGCTGGTGGCTCCAAGGAACATGACTTTGGGTTGGTAGTGCAACTCTTTATGTTCTTTTGACAGTGCAAGGGATATTCAATATCCTTTGCCAACATGACAACATAAAAAAGAAAAATATTAAAACAAGTTTTAATAAAAAATTATTTGTGATGCAGAAGTATGTAAACCAAAGCAACCAATATAAGTAAAATAAGTATACTAAATGTTGACAGAGTATATGAAAACGATGGTGTACCCTCTAATCTAAAGTACAGTAGGATCACCAGGAGGTGGATTCGATGCCAACTAATTTTGTCTGAAATATGACACTATTCTTTTGATTTTAAAAGACATAATGTACTTTTCACTACTTTGTTCTACATTGGCAATACACATTACACAGATCACACAGAATTCTAGCTTTGAAATGTATTTATTTTTTTGATTGTTGGGATTTCTCATTCATAAAATTTTAATCAAGTAGTATATTTTAAGTTTCAGGACATAACTGTAACTTAATAGCAATATATACAAGGGATTTTCCATTTAAATTTACAAAAGCAATAGGTAATAGTAACAAAAATATAGAAGGGGATCAGTTTTTCTTTCAATCAAAAGTTGTTGTTATTTCTTTTTAGAAGACCACTGACTAACATTCTACTATGGATCGTCTAAGAACGAGAAGAAAAGGAGATACCTATCAAGGGTTAACAGAGCCAAATCATCCAGTTACCGAGAGATTTGTTTAATAACTGGATATTTCAGAATTCACGGGTTTTGAATAGCTCTTTTAGCAAAGAAATTCACTTGTATGACAGACTTACATGTTGAAGAGGTGAAACATAATGAGTGGTATATACATATTCTTTATAGTTCAAATGGACGAAATCTACCTATTCCTTAAGAGGAGTGTGCAGTGTGATAAGTAACGGAATGTTTCCACCCTGTCAGTTTACTTTGTTTTTAGAGAAGCAGCCTAACAACATAATGACAGCTTTTCAGTAGGTTACCAATAACCAGAGATTTCTAAAACGGATGCTAGCAATCTTGCAAAGAACAGCCCAACAACTTCAAGTTGGGACATTAGATGCAAAGGTTAATACACCATGATAAAATCATCCTAAAAGGTCCCAGTCCCTGAAAAGTCTCAGGTACAATCAGGTACAAACACATAAAAATGGTCCTTCTAAGCACTGCATCGCACACTTCTGAAGCCACCTTCTGACTTCAGTCCACAATGTGGAATGATACTCATCCTCTTTTTGGTAGTATTCGTTTTACTTTGAAAAAGTGTATGTGTGCTTATTAACTTTGGGTCGATAAAAAGGACCTGACTTAATTGTATTTTTATAAGTGGGCTATTCTGTAGGCTGTTTGATAGGCAGAGCATGAACTGGAAGAGGAAACCTGAGGAACTCTGAAATATGGCAATTATTCCACAGCTGTTTAGGTAAAAAAGTAGCTCAGAGCACAGAGGTACAATAATCTGAGTCTCAAGACAGACTTTTCTCAAGAGTCCATGTTTCACTGGGAACCAAACATAAAGCTACTGAAAAGATCTAAGGAAATGTTAATGTCAATTTTAAGAATTTTAGAATAAATGAAAATTTCTTGCCAGTTTCTCATATGGCCAATATGTGTTTGTTTCTACTTAATTCTGGCCATTACAGGTAAGGGAGTTCTGGTGGCCTAGTCTGCAGGGAGTTGTACTTCTAAACCAAAGGCCAAATTTCCGTGGTAGTTCAAATCTACCAGCAGCTCCCCAGTGAGCAAGGTGGGCAGGCTCATCCTGTGCAGCGTACAGCCTCAGAGACCACAGGAGGGTCAGTCAGAGTCAGTGCTGACTTGACAGCAAGGAAGTTTTGAGTTTAAGTATGGATAGCTTTAAAATACAGCAGTGCACATGACAAACTCCAATGTGGTTACAAAGTTCTCTTCATATCTTTAAAAAAGGACAAAATTAAGCACATTACTAATCTTAGAAAAACTGGGCCCATCATCAATCAGAAACTATTTTTTATATAGAAAAGTAACAAATTTTTCCTCACATACATTTGTTCTGTGATACAAAACTATACCACCATATGACATGGATCATAGAAAATATATATTCTATATGACACAGAATATATGTTTCATAAAATGTGGGTGATTTCTCTGCTAATAATAACCAAAAGACCATTTGCTATAAAACACATTTTGTGCAAAAATTAAAAAGATTGTATTTCAAGAAAAGAAAAGGAAAGAAGGATAACTAGCAGGTATACATGGTGAAAAATGGGGGGGTAAAAAGGAAACACTTTATATTACTTTTAAATAGATAATGCCAGAATATTTCAATATTATGAAAATCAAACATTTACTCTTGAACATATAACAAGGATGGCCTAGAAAATTCCATTATGTTCCTAGGATTACTCTGAGTAGGGGGGTGAAGGTGATATAAATGGAAGACTTGGGGGGAAAAAAAGCTTACATGAAGAATACATAAAACACTGTATGTTTTTAATACAAATTAGGGAAAATTAATATTTTTCAAGAAAAACTGTACATATTTTGAGAACCTAGGAAAACCAGGTGAGTTGAAAGGGATTGCTTATTATGTAAGAATAAAACCATTGATGAAAGACAGTCTGTCTTAACATAATTCATGTAATCTCAACCAGATAGCTACTGTTCCAAGTCATAAAATTTATGCTCTGACACATGATTACATATTAAAATTATTTCCTAAAATAAATTCTTTTACATTTGGTGCTAACAGAGCTCTTGAGAAAGTGCTATACAAACCCAAGGGTATAAAATTTTTAAGTGATATTTTGAAAAAACCATACAAAAATGTGTAAACAAAGGATGCTTCAGAGTTGCAGGACATTATAAAATTCATCATTTGGAGTAAGACAAAGGAATACCTCTTCATTTAAAAAAAATTGTTAGCCTAACTTTTCAAGTTTGAGATGGGGTCACAGCAGCCAAAGGTGCTGCATGCACCACTGCACTTGTGCTGCGTTCTCTCCGGGCACTGGCCAACTCTGCAGCAGTCTGAGCTTCCCCTCCTGACGGACGGATGCACGAAGCAGCTAGTGAGCACATTCTGCACCAAGTCTCACCTGGGAGACACTGTAACATGAAAAGGGTTTTATTCCTCTTTACCCTGACACAGAGGAAAACGGCTTTTAAAAGATATTTATAAACAATATAAATTATGATAGGAAAGCACTGTAAAAATTAAGTGTGATATTTTTGGCACAAAGCACTTTTTAAATCCAAGCTCACTTTTCAAAATATATGTCTGGAATTTCTCACTGGAAAATAAAAATCTTTTCACTTACACACACTGTGTAAATGGTTTTACGAGTGAATTAATTAGAACCTAAGCTTCCTTAAATACTGCACACACCATCATTTTATTTCAGTACCACCAGGGACCTGCATGCACACCTACACACTCTATATTATACAGATATTGCACGAGTATCATTGCCAAGATACACACTAAGGCAGTCTGGCAAGGTTTAGGGTTTACTTTTCAATATTTTTAAATAAGTATTCAGAGCCAATACTATTTTCCAGAAAAGCTAGATGATCAAATTCAGAAAAAGAGTGCTTGTTATGTTCCTTGAGCTATAAAATTAAAATCTGTACCAATATATTTCATTTATGTTTTTCTCCAGTACTATAAAATTCAGCAAAACCTGTTTTTGACATCTCTTACAGCATTCTTCAAAAACAGGAGAAGCTTCGTCTAATGAGAAAAAATTAAAATGAGTCCACAGGGCAGTAATTTTTCCACCATAGGTCTCACTACATTCTGAAAAGCACTGCAAAAGCAAGATTTCATTAAGTCTGTCACCTTTTAGAGCCACTGGGTGTAAAGTCTGCTAAAACACTCGCATGGACCCTGACAGCTGGGTGTATTTCTTACTGGATTGCACAATATCACTCTGTGTTCCCTCCTCAGATGCTTTAAGGTATGCTACAGCTGCTGAAAGGATTTCTGCTTTTCTTGGTCCTCTGTCTGTTGGGTCTAAGGTTGATGACATCTCCACCATTAAGGGCACTGGAATTCTGACCCAAGTGACTCCTACCAGATGTATTGAAGACACCTGTATAAATTGAGGAAAACAAAGACTGACATTTATACATCTCAGGGTAATAAGGCACAGTCGATGCATCATGCTTTGTACTGAAGTCAACAATGAATGGAAAATGTTACTTTTTTAAGCTTTTACTCTAATTTACTTTTAAAAAATGTATTATAAGATACAGATCACAAATATATGTTCCCATTTCATCTACTTTTAACAGCTAATACACATCCCTTAAAATGCAAAAGGCACAAGAGGAGTAAAGTCTTCATCCCATTTAATACTTTAATCACCAGCTCCCCTTCTCAAAGAATGTTATTAGTTTTCCTGTGTATACTTCCAGGAATATTTTCTGGATATGCAGGTAAATACGTATATACATCCTTCTTCCCCACCCCTTTCTACCCAAATGGTGATATATTCTGTACACTGGTCTAGATATATTGTCACTTGTCCAAAATAAATTTTGGAAATTTTGAATCAGTAAATACAATAACTTTATGAACTTCATGTATTAGTTTCATATCATGGAATATCCTTGGGAAACCTCATTTATAGCCCACAACAGTTTATTTGTGATACTGTTATTATTAATAAAAACATTATCTATGTAAAAGTTAGTGGTAACAAAAAAGGTTTCCCAATTAAGCTACTCATTGCCTCGAGTCAGAACCAACTCAACTGGTCTCCACAAGGCTTATGCAAGTGAGAAGATGGCCTATCTTACAAAAACAAACAACACCTGTGATTTATAGATCATTAAAGTGATAAGTAAAAGAGATAAACTAAAGAAAAACTTGGAAGTTGGGATTTTGAAGCTCCGTCTCATATACTTTGCCACGTGGCCAGGAGAGACCAGCGCAAGAAAGGAAAACCCTGGATGAGATGGACTGATGCAGGAACTGAAGCAATGGGGGTTGGTGTGTCAGAATTAGAGAGACTGGCTCAGGACAGGGCAGGCTTCAGAGCTGCTGTACACAGGGTCACTATGAGTCATAGGCAACTTGACAGCACAGAACAACAACAAAAGCAAACTTTTAAGAATGGTTCTTACCATTTTGAACTGTATAGTCACAAAATGTCATCTTCAACTTAGAGTGACTTAGCACCCATGACATGAAACACTGAGCCTGATGCTATCAGGGATACCGTGATGAGGCAGTCTGCATGCTAAATGAGTGTTGGCCTTTGAAAACCTGTGAGGCAGTTCTACTTTCCTATAAAGCTGCAATGAGTGGGAACCTACTTGAGCGCAATGGATTTATACAGAAGACAAACTTTGATAAAAAGTCTTCTGTGCGTTGCTGTACAGAGGTAACTCGTGGTTGCTGCGATGCTGAACACTGTGACACTGATGTGCCAAACGTGGTAATGGTTACCCATGGAGGACAGTGTTTGCTGGAGCTTCCTGATTAAAACAAGCCTGGAAGCAGGAGTGGCATCCACTTCTGAAATGGCTTGCCTCCGAAACTCTATGTAGGAACAGTGCTCAGGCCTTTCATTCATAGGGTTGCTATGAGTCATTTACAACTCAACGGCACCAAACAACAACACAATCATTGGTATCTTTAGCCTATCAAATATTGAGAAAATTCAATAGTAAAAAATCTTTTCAAATTGCTATTCCTACTGAAGAATGCTAATATTTTGAATTTTATTAACCACTGATCCTAGTACTTTTTCCCCATTGCATTTTTTAAAGAAATGAGCATTATTCTAAGAGATGCAAATCAAAACAACTATGAGATATCATCTCACCCCAGTAAGAATAGCAAAATTCAACAAAGCAGCAAACAACAAATGCTGACGAGGTAGCAGAGAAACTGGAACCCTTATTCACAGTTTGTGGGAGTGTAAAATTGTTCAACCACTCTGGAAGGAAGTATGGCGCTTTCTCAAAAAGTTGCAAATAGAAATACCATTTGACTCAGTAATTCTGCTACTGGGAATATAATCTAAAGAAACTAGAACTGCCACCCAAGCAGATATATGCACACCCATGTTGACTGAGGCTTTGTTCACAATAGCAAAGACTGGGAAACAACCCAAGTGCCCATCAACAAATGAACGGATAGAGCAGCTATGGTATATTCACACAATGGGATACTATGCTGCAATGAAAAACAAGGAACTCATGAAATACTATACAAAATGGGTAACCCCGGAGGACATTATGCTGAGTGAAGGAGCTCAGACACAAAAGGAAAAACACTGCATAATACCACTGCTATAAAGTGGCAGTGACACTGGGTTTGGGGAGAAACTAACAGGGGATAAATAATGTATACTGTATTGAAACAGATAAGGAAGAGAACTGTTTAAAAGGACTATATGATAAAAGGAATATACTAGGTATTATTTTCATGACAAGAGTCCAGAATGAGAGCTGCATAGTGGAGTAGACTAGGTGGGGTGGGGGATTGCATAACAATGAAAGAATTTTTTTACTTTTCAAAGAGAAAGTGAACTGGGGGCAGGGGTGGGCAGTGAGGAAAATGTGTAAAAACGAATGAATCAAAGTCCAAAGTCTCTAAAAACTTTCAGTAAAATTTTAATTAAAAAAATTTGAAAGAAATAAGCATTTTAAAAAAAGGAAATATAATTTCTTTGGGGTATATTCCCAGTAGTAGAATTGTTGGGTCAAATTGTATTTCTATTTGCAACTTTTAAAAAAAAATTTTTTTAATTAATTTTAATGAAAGTTTACAGAGACTTAGGTTTTCCAGTCATTCATTGCTGCACTTTTCTCCCTACCCACTCCCTCACCCACAATTCACTCTTCCCCTTGAAAGAAAGAAAAATTTTTTCATTGTTATGCAATTCCTACCCCCCCCCCCAAGACTACTCCACTATGCAGCCTTCACTCTGGACTTCTGTAATAACAAGAATACCCATACATAACTACCATCCAAGAAGATATATGCACACCCATGTTTATCGTGGCTTTGTTCACAACAGCAAGGAGTTGGAAACAACCTAAGTGCCCATCAACAAATGAATGGATTGAGAAGCTGTGGTATAGTCACACAATGGAATACTATGTTGCACTGAAAAACAAGGAACTCATGAAATATTATACAAAATGGGTGACCCTGGAAGACATTATGCTGAGTGAAGTATCTCAGTCACAAAAGGACAAATACTGCATAGTGCCACTGTTGTATAACGGAACTGACATCGGGGTTGGGGGGAGACTGAGAAAAAGGGGATAAATGTATACTGCATTGAAACAGATGAGGGAGAAAACTGTTTAAAAGGGATATGGGTTTAGGTTTTATTGTCATAACAGGAGTTCAGAATGAAGGCTGCATAGTGGAGTGGACTCTGGGGGAGTCTGTGTAATAATGAAAGCATTTTTCTTTTACTTTTCAAGGAGAAGAGAGAACTGGGCAGGGGGAAGGGTTGGTGCAGGGATGGCAGGGAGAAAAGTGAAACAATGAATGAATGGAAATCCAAAGTCTCTGTAAACTTTCATTAAAATTAATAATAAAAAGGGGGGGAAGAAAATATAATAATGAAAGAAATTTATCAGTAAACATGAATATAATTTCTTGGGTCCTTACCAATTTTGTTACTACTTGAATGCCTTTGTTCTGGATCTTCAGTTATTTGTTGTTTGAGTTTTTGAAGGTATTTTTCAGCCAAATATTTAAAAACTAGAATAAAAAACCAAATACTCTTGTTAATACAATTAATGCATACAGTGTCTGTTATTTCACATCATTTTATCATGTTTCAAGGAGCCCTTTTGGTGCAATAGTTCACTAACTGAAAGTTGGCAGATCTGTGGGAGGCAGACCTGGCAGTCCGTGCCCAGGGAGATTCCAGCCTACTGGGTGGGGCGCGACTCTAGCATTCAGATTCAGATGGCACCTAATAACAACGCTGCAGCTTCTATACTTAATAAATTAAAATTCAGTAGGAACATACACATCTGGTTGAGAATTCAACTACTGAAAATGATTTGATGCCTAAAAAGTACAATGGTAACGTGAGGAAGTCTACATAAACATAAAAACATCAGCAAGTATATTTTTCTTGATAACAAAAATGGAAGAAAATTTGTTTTTACTGGTTCTTTATGTTCTTAATTCATATTCAGTGATGCTAAACAAAGTCTTGAAACAATGTCAATTTTCTTTTGGTAAAAATCCCCAACAAACAAAGAATTGAGTAGTAAAGATGTTTCAAGTTACTAAAAGAACTGATACGTACTATATGCCTCTAATCTTGCATTTTTTACCTGTGTTGTTGCTGTTAGGTGTCCCTGAGTCAAGTACGACTCACAGCAACCCAGTGAACAACCTATCTGAACCCTGTCCTCTCCTGTGTCATACTCATCATCTCTGACATACATGAACCCATGGCTACCGTGACCATGTCAATCCATCTCTTTTGGGGTCTTCCTCTCCTTCACCGACTTTCCACCTTTCCAATGAGTAAGCCTATCCTAGCAACATGTCCAAAGTACGAGAGACAAAGGTTAAAGAGCACTAGGTAATATTATTTAAAAAGCTACCTGATAACAGCATCTGCTACCTTGGTGTTCTAATACAATTAAAAATTTTGAAATGTTCAAAATTTTGAAAAAGTATGCATTAAAAAATATGACACATACATTGAAATATACATATCTAAGATTTTTAAAGAGAATAAAACAAAACTAAAATCCACTAGATGAAATTTTGTTGTAGAGAGAGAGTAACAGGAATATTGTTGTTAGGTGCCATGGAACTTTGCCCTGTCCTGTGTCAGTCTTAGCTCTCTCATACACCTGAGGTCACTGTTACAGTCACTGCGTCTGCCACTCTACCTTGCTGAGGGTCTTCCTTTCCAAGGATTTCTTTTTCCAAACACTGGCCCAGTTTAGTGGTCAGGAGCTGACACTGCCAACCCAAAGACACATGGTTTGATCAATCAGTGGTTCTGTGGGAGAAGTATGGGCATTCTACCTCTGTGCAATTTACTGCCACCTCTGTGCAATTTACTGCCACCTCTGTGTAATTTACTGCCACCTCTGTGTAATTTACTGCCACCTCTGTGTAATTTACTGCCTCTAAAAACCCGCTAGAGGGTCAGTCGTATACATGCCTTTAAATCACACTTAATGATAGGTGGGAAAGAACAAATTTTGTTCCTGTACAAGTAAAATTTCTAAACAATATAAAGGGGAAAAACCCATTCAATTAATAAAGGAAAAAAAAAACACCATCACAATAATTTGTCAAAAAAGAACTTTACCTTCATTAACATTTAGATCCTCTTTCACAGATGTTCTGTAGAATCTTAACTTTAACCTTTTTGCCAGGGCCTCAGCTTCCTCACTGTAGAGCAATTCAGAAGAGAAAATGCTTATAGAAGTAACTCTTACAGTTTGCTTTTAAAGATCACTTTGAATCAGAACTTGCAGAAATTTTTCTAACTTTTTTGATAAATAAGCTTAATAAAAATACAATTGTCTTGTTAAAGAAAATTATTGGAAGTTATGTCTTAGTGCTTCAGTAAGATCTGTTTCCATCTGACATGAATGATAAACTCTAATCATTATTTCTTTTATCAATAAATGGAATGATGTTGTTACTGACAAGGAGTTGCCTGGGACGCATATCACCCCTTGTACAAAAGCTCTGAAGCCTGCCCTGCCCTGAGCCGGTCTCACTAACTCCAACATACCTATCCCCATTGCCCTCCCCAGTTAATGTATCAGTCCATCTCATCGGGGTCTTACTCTCCTGTGCTGTCCCTCCACCCTTCTGAGCATGATGTCCTTCTCCAAGGACCATCTCCTCCTGACCACTGCCCAAAGTATGTCCAATGTATGCGAGACAGAGCTTCAAAATCCTAGACTCAAAGGAGAAATGTGGTTTTACCCTTTCCCAGATAGACCTATTTGTTAACAGAATACTTATTTATAAAAATCAATGGTCTCCAAGAGTAAATAAAACTAATCTATACATTTTTCTTCTGTTTTTAGTATCATTTGAATTTAATTATACTCTGAAATTGCACTGAAACATCTACTAATGATTTTCTATGAAAGTATTTTGTTGTCAAAAGCCAGAGCCAGTATATTATTGTGTCTATAAAAATGGACTTGAAATTCTAGTTTTATTAGGACTGTATTCATTCTCCCAAAAGTCTCCCAATCATCTCCCTCTCCTGGTCTTTATGACCTTGTATAGCCCTTCATGCTTTATCAAGTTCAAGGTGGACCTGAATGACCAATAACAAACTCATGTGAGACTTTCAGTCTAGGTCACACAAGACATCATGGCTTTCACCTGGTTCTCTCTTTGCATTACTTGCTCTTGGGGAAACCAGCTGTCATGGCGTGTGAACACTCAAGCAGCCCTCAAAAGATGCCTATGTGCATGACAAGAGTTCAGAATGAGTTGTGTCGTAAAATGGTGGTGGTGGGGCAGACTGCTTAACAATGAAAAGAACTTTTTCCCAAAGGAAAAAAATGAACTGAGGTGAAAATGAGAGGGTGAAAAAAGAAGGAAAATGTGCAACAATGAATGAATGGGAATAAAAAAAAAATAATTATAATACATTTTTTTTTAAAAAAAGATGCCTATGTAGTAAGGAACTAATAATAAGGCTTCCTTCCTGCCAACAGCACGTAACTGAGAGACTGAGATGCTAATTCTCCAGCAGTCGAGCCTTTATATGACTAGAGCCCCGGGAGACATCTTGACTGCAAGTTCACGAAAAATCTTGAGTGAGAAAAATCACCTAGCTAAGCCACTCTCAAATTCTTAACTCAAAAAACTAGAAAGTAATGACCCTAAGTTTTGGATTATAAAGCAACAGATAACTAATGAAAGGACATATAATAAAAATAATTAGTGTAAAAGCCATGTGCAGATCTTTTAAAGCGAACAAAAACATTTGTGATGCAGTGAGTAAATATTTATAAACAAAAATTATCCTGATGCTAACGTCTGTTCCTAGTCCCCAGGTGGTGCACGTGGTTAACATGCCAGGTGCCAGAGCTGGACACTGAGTCTACCAAGAGACAAGGAACAAAGGTCTGGTGAGCTACATCTAAGAGCCAGCCACTGAAAACCATACAGCAGTTGACACACACAGGATCACCCTGAGGCGGAACTAATTCAACGACAACTCATTTGTACACAAATCTGAGACTAAGAACTCAGACTATACAAAACAAGACGAATCTGTACTTTATGTATTTAAATGCGTTAACAGAAGGAAGCTAGTTACTATAGCTATCAAAACATCTAGGGATTTTTTTTTAACATTCTTACTGAAGGTTGAAATGAACAATGAACAATGAATTGGATTTATATTGTGAGGATTTAAGATTAGACTTCTAAAAGGACCTTCAACTTAATTTCTTTTCATTTTCTCTACTTATATATACATCAGGATGGATGGTGACAAGATTGAGATTGTTCACAGTTTTAGTTTGCTTGGCTCTACAGTCAACACTCTTGGCACCAGTAGCCAGGAAATTAAAAGACGTATTGCCATGGGAAAGTCTGCTGTTAGGGACCTCTCCAAAGTACTGAAGAGCAATGGTGTCTCTCTGGAGACTAAGGTGCATCTGATACAGGCCATGGTCTTTGCAATCACTTGTTATGCATCAGAGAGTTGGACAGTGACTAAGGAGGATAAAAGGAGAATTGATGCTTTTGAGCTCTGGTGCTGGAGAAGAGTACTGAGGGTACCATGGACTGCTAGGAAAACAAACAGATTCACCCTAGAAAGGGTTAAACTGGGCAGCTCCCTGGAGGCAAGGACTCTGAGGCTCCGTCTAACATACTTTGGACATGTTATAAGGAGGGGCTGGCCCTTGGAGAGGGACATCATACTTGGTAGGGTGGAGGGACAGCGCAGGAGGGGAAGGCCCTCTATGAGGTGGATTGATTTAGTGACTGGGGTAATCGGGATGGGTATATCGGAGACAGTGTGATTGGCACAGGACAGAGCAGAGTTTAGGGCTGTTGTATATTGGGTCGCTATGTGTTGCAAGCAACTTTACGGCACATAACAACAACATACTTCAGTGAACAATTCCTTAACTGCAAACACACAGAAGAGCCTATAGGAAATTTTTTTTGAGGGTAAAATAGTAATGATGGATTTATTAGACTGTTAACATCCCAAAGGGATGGATCTCCCTCTCTGAAAGGAGATACGGAGAAAGGCCCCTGCAGGAATTTTAAGTATAGGCAGTCTTTTCACAAAGTGTTTTAACTACACAATTATGTTTTTGCTTTTTGAATGACCATCCCCTCAAAACACAAAGCCATCTTACTTCTTTATACATGAATCATCCAGGAGATCAATCTTGTTTTGCACAAGCACAGTTGGTATATCTCCTACTTCAGCTACTACTTTCTCTCGCCAACTGGAAATTGCTTCAAAAGATTCTCTGTCTGTGGTAGAAAATACAAGCACACAAGCCTGGGCTCCTAGAGAATCACAAAAGAAAATGGCTATTTTCAGTACGGAAACAATCTTACAAGAGGTGTGGGTAACTTTTACATGTTCTCTTAAAGAGAGAATACTTAGGTACAGAGAGCAGATAAATGAGTTGACCTAGATAATACTGCTGTTATCTTTCACCACATAAACTCCATTTTCCAATTCAAATAATCTATTTCTTATGGCTCTCCAACTTGTACAAGTATAAAAACTATGCACGTTTTTAGAATACCATAAAAAAACCAATGCATTTAATGACATTATAAGGGCTAAAGCAAATGCTGATGTCAAGGTCTTCCTCTGAGTATTTGTCACTTGTGCCCTAATTTCTTTCAGCCCAAATTAAAGAAAAATGAGGGGGGAAAATAGTATTCTTAACTTTGTTTACTTCTAAATATATATTATTTTAATAACAGCATACGAATTGAATCCACTAGCTGCTCCAAAGTAGAAGGATGGGTGATTTTCTACTGTGTAATTAACTGCCTCTGAAAACCTGCAGGTGGGTCAGCTATGAGTCAATCCCAACTTGACAGCACACAACAAATACTTGAGTTTAAAAATAATTGAGTTTAAAAACCAATGCCAACCCCCCCACCAAACCCAATGCTGTATATACAAATAGATAAGAGTGTGTGTGTGTGTGTGTGTGTGTGTGTGTGCATCTGTGTGAAAAATAAAGGGGGGGAAAAAACACCCTTCCTTTTTTTAATCTGCTATCAGATCCAATGAAAAGATTTTCCCCCCAGAGAATTTCTAATTTATTTTATGGGCAATGTAAGGGAACCAATGGGAAGATTAAAGCAATGTTGTGCATTACTTTGTTACTGAATGAATGGTTTAGGTCTGTACTTGTCATTCATTAGCTGTGAAACTTTGGTTCATCTTCTACGAATATAATGGATTTAAGTGATACCTACACAAGACTCTAAACCTGTTGCTGGGAAATCCATTCAGACTCATAGGAACCTATAGGAGATTATGGAGCCCCTGAGGCCTTCCATTATTGCAGTCTTTACAAGAATACCCTGCCACATCCTTCACCTATGGAGCAGCCAATGAGTTCAAACTGGAGCAACTAGTGAGTTCAAACTATGACCCTTTGGCTAGAAACTGAGCTGTTTAACCACCAAGTCACTCCCACCAAAAACCACTACCTTTAAATAATTTACTACCTATACCAACCTCGTGCTAATGCTAAACCTATACTTGGACCAAGAGGCAGTCATCAGGACAGAGCAAGGAAACACTGCATGGTTCAAAATTGGAAAGGGAGTAAGCCAGGGATGTGTCCTGTCTCCATACCTTTTCAACCTGTATGCAGAACAGATTATCTGGGAGGCTGGGCTCTATGAGGAGGAATGTGGGGTCAGGATTGGTGAAGATCTATCAACAATCTGCGTTATG